CAAACTCGGGCTCCGTTGCCTCCAGCGACGAGCCTGGTGAGATGGACTGGACTTATATGATGTCTGGTTACAACGACACTTCAAGTTTTACTCCCATGGGTGGATTTGGCAGCTTCAGTGGTGGCTTTGGCGGGGGTATGCCTGGTATGCCACCCGGCATGGGAGGTATGGGGCGCCCTCCGACTGGTAATCCTCCAGGTGGTCGTATGTATGGTGGGAATTAGGGCACCGTGAGCAGTGATGTGATACGATATACGAGCGCCGTTTTTCTTCTGTTTATCTGCTTTGCTCCCTCCGAGTGTAATGTTTTGTCTTGAATGTCGTTTGCCTGATAGTGCTTGAACATGATACAGTATACCGGTATCTAACATTCTATTTCCCCTGTGTTTCTTTTCCTTGGCAACTGCCTCACATACAGCTCACAATCCTAGCTCGAACTAGAATACATGAATGGCCACAGAGGCACCATAATCATAAGAACATTTTGTTCATGCTGGCATCTGTACCGGACTCAAAGCGCTCTCATATCAGCTTATCCCCAACCCTTGGGGAATGCAGTGTTCTACTCAAGATTCTTAAGCTAACCAACTTACTCGGCACGGCTGAGGATTACAGATCGGAAGCGCACCCAGCCATGGAAGGCCGCTAATGTTTTGCTGACTAGGATAGACAATATGTCAAGTTCAGCCCCAAATATCACCACAGAACAGTGGAGGCGTTGCTTGTCCCATACTCACCTCAAAGTCAAGCCTATAGCTGTGCTAAACTGTGTATGGAGCAGAGCTGAGGATATGGTGTAGCGTTTCCGTTTCAGTTCGTCATGCAGTCGTTTCCCAATTAGACAACCAGCATAAGCCACGCAGAAGATTTAGCTTATATGGCGGGGCATTGTTTGCTTTGTGTTGCATTTCTACAATTCTCGAGCAGCATGCGAGGTGACCCTACATCCATGTCATCCCAGTCACCAAGGCCAGATAGGTAGGTCAGCAGTCAAAGTACTGAGGTGTCACACATTCCAAGTGGGGACAAAAGCGTTATGCACGCTGGCAGTTTTGAGTCAGTCTCTGTCGATGCCCGTTCGCATGGGAGAAATTTTGCAGGATGGCCATTTTGCTAAGATTCTTCAGTGCCCTATTGGACCGGCTTCTGCGCCCAACAATCAATCCAGTCGAGTTGTGCGTGAATGCGGGTGTTGTTGAAGGTTTCGAACACGCTGTGCCCAAGCTCATATGCCTCTTCTTCCGTGACTCCCATGATGTCCGGACGGCCAAGCATTGCTGTGACCCATTCCTCGAGGATGTTTTGGGTGAAAATTCCCATTTCTCTCATTTTTGCTTCCTGGTGCCACCGGCCAACAGGTGTGTATGAATGGCGTTCGTTGACATTGATGAATCCAACGTCACGCAGCGCTTCAACGATCTGGGATGGAAAGCGTAAATTCCAACCATATATCGTGGTAAAGGGGCCCTCAACAAGGCGGTAGAACTGGTTCATAGGATGATCATCTCCGGCAGTACCGTCAACAGAGAAGACGAAGGGAACAATTTCGTGGATTTCAATCCAAGCACCAGGTTTCAGCTTTCTAGCAGCATTGCATGAGCTGGGGAATACGACGAGTTGATTCTTACACAACTTACTCAAAAGCTCTCTCCAATAGCTGTCTCGGTTTTCGCAGAGTCTGTAACAAGGCTCTGACATGAATTAAATCTGCATCTTCATATATTCTTGTCCAAGGACGATTTTCATCCTCGAGATCTTCTACCCGAAACTCAACGTTGGGCGGCGTCCAGTGCGGTTGGATGGGTGAAAGATCACAGCCTATCACTCGTGCACTGGGGAAATTTTCCGCGACTAAGGTAAGCTCATTGTCAGCCTGAGAGTATTGCAACCGAGGCGGAAAAACTGACCGTCTTGTGCCCACATGCCAACACCTGTACCAAGATCAACAATCTTTTGCGGGTTGTTCCCTATGGGGGCCAGAAATAGCTTTCCGTCGAGGAGATAATCCAGGTACAGCTTATGCTTCAGGCCCTCGCGGACCTGCTCAGCATCGTCGTTTGGTAGGCCATAACGGCCACAGAGAAAGCCTTGATATCGCCTTTAACAGATTAGCATTCATCAACGAGGTGTGACAAGGATCAGCAACACACCTTCCATGTTCGTATGAGTAAAGTTCCCTGGTATTAACTGAAGTAAATTCGGAGGTTGCTATTGAATCCCCATAGTCTGACGTCGGGTCCTCTTCTGGGTCTCTGTGGTCCATCGTTATGGAACCTCTGCTTCAAGTCCCCCTTGGAGGATCGTACTCGAGAAGAGATGAGTTAGGTGGGAAGGAAATAGTATTTGATGTGAATACATGAGCACTCGGCAGAAAAGCAGCAGGTAGGTACTGTAGCAGCAAGCTTAAAGAAGGGCAGAATGATAGGACAGGCCTTGGTGGGTCAAGCATACATACATATGCCGGTGACAGATACCCAGTCCTTGTCCCGATGGTAGGGTACGTATATCGCAGGGGAAGCCTGTTCAAAGGCAGGGGAGGCTAACACTGGGAGAATGATATGTGACAGGAAAAGTCGAGAGAAGCAAGCACGCCCATACCAGATATCGACCAAACCAGCCTGTATGGCAGGGCCTCGTTGAACGAAAAGTCGCACAGAGTGAGTGACAAGAGTGACAAGACCCAGCAGCCCGGACTGTGTGGCGGGGACTAACCGAGTGAATGGTCCCAGCTAGCCAATACGATGAGAGAACAGCCAAGGAGGATTTCCAGAAGAACGGAAGGGAGGGTCGGCGGCGCAGGGAGACCCAGAATCCCAGACGACCGGTAAGTTGGTACAGGAGCAGACAAGACAGACGGTCGGTGCGGGATAGGCTCTTGGGTTAAGCGGTATGGCCCCGAGCCGTCGGGACAAACCGAAACTCTTTTGAGAAGAGTTCACACTGATCGGCGGCCGTAATGCGACCCAGTTGTGACGTGGTCGAACGAGCGAGCGAGCAAGTGGACGACTCCAGTGTACTAACAAGGCAGCTAATAAAGCTGCGACAATGGATACAAAATGGTACCTGTTCTCGATTGTGAGACAGGAACGCCGACAAGAGACAGTGCTGTGGCTGAGGATAGAGGGTTTCGTGTGAAGTATTTGGAGAATTTCAGGTCGTGATGATCGCGTTTCGTCCGTCAATTTCAGTTGCCCTATGTTCCAATTTGACGGATATATGAGTTATACCTTGTTAGCTTTGAAGCTGAAGCTTGTGTGGGAATGTGGCAGGTCTAATACAACGATAGATCATGCCACTCTCTTGACCATTCCGTTGCCGAGAGCCATTAATAATTCACGCAGTTGGAGCAGAAAAGCGAGGCAAATAAAAGGCGAGACCTTTCCGTCACCGATTCTGGCCCGGAGAGGCGGTGCTGTGCTCTACCAAAGGTAACTAAGGAAGATATCGTAAACCTAGTGACGGTAACAGTAACGTACGTACGCATCCTGCGTAACTAAGGTACCTACCTAGGTACCTAGGTGCAATCATTGCAATCCCACAGCCCGTGGACCAGTCTCCATTTGTTTTCTGCCCACTGTCACTTGGGAGCAGAGGATGTCGGGGTTGTCCACTCCTCTCCGTCACGGCAAGGAAATGCTCCGTGAATGCATTGCATGCTTGTGTAGTAATACAAAACCGCCGTATTTGACCAAATCGTTGAACTGGCTAGACTGGTTCTGTTAAGTAACGCGGAAAAGCCAATGTCCACTTCCGCTGAAACCATGGTCAGGATTAGGTGCTCGGCATTAAGACATTTCAGTACAAGTGCTGTATGCCTTATACTGAATAGAGAGCCAAGGTGCATCCAAAATCTCTGCCGATATAATAACAAATATGGCGTTGCATGTCCTCACAGGCTGAGGTCCAAAAGGCAGTGCAAACTACAAGTCATAGAACCCCGGTTCTGAATTATACCTAGGTAAGGTACTAGTTGAGTAGGGAAGAGTTGAGTACCGTGCCGCATGAAGGGACAAGAAACCCCAGGTAGGACAGGTGGGAGCTTCGGATAAGCCATCAAGATATCCGAACTGACTTGACCAGGGGGCGCTTGACGATATTTCTGTTTCGCACAAGTTTAAGTATACCGAGAGATGTCGAGAATTGGAAGAAGAATCGAAGATGAGTACCTAGCTGAAGAGATAGTGAAGTGATATCAATCCCCTTGTGGGTGAAGACTATAGTGGCCTTTCACATTATTGTCGATGCCTTCAACAGCCTCTCTTACACAAGGACGAAGGCACGGATAACATAAAACAAGCACGGCAGAATTTATGCCCAAGCGAAGGTTGGTAATGCAGGAACTGACTGAGCAGTGCGAACTCAGCTCAAGAGAAAGTCGAATTCTTTTCCTTTTCGATTGCCTACCTTATCCATGCTCTATCTACCTAAGGTACCTTAGGTAGGTAGTTATTCAAGTTCTACATGCAAATCTTGAGGAGGCATGGGAGGGTCTTGTCTTCCATAAATGGAAGGAGGGGCAGTCCATGTAAGCCAGTTCCATTCCGCCAGGTAAGCTCAGCCAATTTACACGGTCGGACAGGGAAAGCGCGTCATTCAACCGCCCAAGCCAAGCCAAGTCGCGTCGCCAAAAACACGTCGGACCAAATTGATTTTCAACGTCCTGAGCAACCAAGAGCCAGTAGCACAACCACCAAACTCCCATATTGATCAGCAAGCATAACGAACCATAACGCCGCCTGTACTTCTACGCTTCGAGCATCTTCATTTCTCATTTCGATAATTGATCACCTATTTATTTTTATTTTTAAGACTCTCACTGGATCATTGTTTATTTCCCTCCTCGACTGATCTATTCCTCGTCTACTTTACGCGATCGTCGCGTCCCGATTCTCACCCCTTGACGATACAGGGCCGCTTGCCGTTATACAACTCTCACTCACCCTCATGAAACTTGTGGCATATAGACTTGGCGATCGAACCGCTTCCTTACTATCTTCGACATGTACCTCCCGCGGCAATTGATCTCTAAGCTCTACGTCCACCTTCAGCAAACAAGACACCCACTCTCCCCACCAGTACTTATTCTCGTCGCCCTCGAACCCGATGCTCTTTGTGCTTGCAGGATCCTAACCCGGCTACTGAAACATGACTATATTCCCCACAAAATACAGCCTGTTGCTGGTTATACAGATCTTGAGAAGGCTGGCCGAGAATTGGTCGTGCCTATGATGGAGTCACAGGGAGGTAGTGGTGGTGTTGTCGTATGCCTTGGTGTTGGGGGCATGGTTGATCTGGGGCCACTCCTTGGTCTTGAGCCTGAAGGTGGCGACCAGCCATACAGTGGTGTCGAGGTTTGGGTCATGGACGCTCATCGGCCATGGAACCTTGGCAACGTTTTTGGCGGGTTTCCTCTCGACCCCGAAACGGAGGTCTCATCGTCATATCAGTCGAGGTGCCCTACTGGTGTCAACGGTGGTATGATTGAATCGGCATTTAAACCTGGTAAGGGTGGCATTGTTGTCTTTGATGACGGTGATATTGTCGACGATATGCAAACTGAGCGCAACGCGTATCTTGAATTGATGGAGATGCCCGAAATTGACGACGATGGTGAGGACTTGGGGGACACCGATGATGAGGACGACGACGAAAATCCAAACGATGCCATCCAAGAGCCCGCTCGTGTAGGTCAGAAGCGAAAAAGCTGGTCAGATGCAGAGGACGAGAGCGACGATGATAGGCCCCACCAACGGCGAAGGAGTAACTCAGTATGTCGACGTGAACTAATTACAAACTAGACTTGCTGACATGTCTATGCAGTCTAGCTCTATCGCTGAATCACCTCGGCGCCCACAGCAAAGAGGTCTCATATCAATGCGACAGCCCGATCTTGGTCTGTCAAGCGATGCTATCGAGCCCCCCTCCGGAGCACAGTTGCCTGCAGGGCCGTCACTCCGCGCACAAAGGAGACAACTCCTACGGTTACGACAAAAGCACGAGGCCATTCTCCACCAATATTACAAAGTTGGATCTTCTTTCTCAGAACCGTTATCATCGATGATGTATTCGCTTGCCTCTGATCTTGGTAGAGCAGACAATGACCTTCTATGGCTATCTATAGTTGGAGTCACATCTATGGAACTCTATGGCCGTTCATCGGCGGGTATTGCTGCGCCTGTCCGACAGAGCGACAAGAGCCGCCCAACAGGTTGGTTGGGCGCCCGAGGAGCTAGAATACGCCAAGAGTTCCGTGATGAAGTCAGGCGGCTGAACCCCCCGGAACTTGCGAATGGGCGTGTTGCTGCAGAAAATACAGGCGTCATTCCCACTACCGCGAGGAACCCTGAAGACACCGGAATTCGGCTGTCCCCTGAGCCCAGATTTTTGTTGATCAGGCACTGGAGCCTCTACGACAGTATGCTGCACTCACCATATCTCTTTTCTCGCCTCAAGACTTGGAGTGAAGCAGGAATCAAGCGACTTCACAAATTACTTGCAAAGATGGGGGTCAGCCTAGCACAGTGCAAGCAGAGCTATACTCACATGGACATGATGCTGAAACGTGAGTTAAGGGCAAAGTTGTTGAAATACGGCTCACTTTACAACCTTGACGAGATGGTACCGTCCGTCGATACGGATGGTAAAGACCGTGCTGGCGCGAAGGACGGGTGGGGGTTTGTCCGAAGTTGGGGATGGCGAGCAACGCTGAGTGCCCAGGATGTGGGAGTTGTTATCGGTGCGCTGCTAGAAGTTGGGAAACATGTTCAGAATCCAGACCCCGCCGTAACAGCGAGCCAAGCTGGTCGAGACGCAGAAGAAGAGGCCGAGTTTGTAGCTCAGGGCGAAGAATGGATTGTGCGGTTCTGGGAGGCATATGACGCGCTTGAAAAGTAAGTTCAATCCGCTAAAGACCCATTCTCCTCGCTGACTTGGACAATAGTATCGACGCGCTGAAGGCCGGTCTTCCTACTGCTCAGTTCCTCCACCGCGCCATCTATCGGACAGGAACATCTCTTATCAACAAAAAGCAAATCAAGCATCTTCGTGCATTTCGCATGTGTGTGGTCAAGGAAGGCCCTGACGTGTCATTGTTCACTCATCCCGCAGCGCTGACCAAATTATCACTCTGGGTAGGCGAAGCCCTTGCTGAACAAGAGAGGGAAACGCATGGGAAACTGTCGCATGGTGGTCGCGGTACACCCCTTGTCGTCGCAAGTCTGAACGAGAAAAGAGGCGTATATGTCGTCGTAGGCACTGGCGGCGGTGGCGGTCCAGATACCACACTCCTTGACAGAGAAGCCGCCAAGAAACGGAAAGCCGAGAGAGAAGAAAAGCTCAAGAAGAAAGAAGAGTCACGTCTAGCGAAGCAGAAAATACGAGAGGATAAGCGTGCAGCCCGACGAGACGCGGGTGATGATGACGACGAACTGGAAACGGAATCAGAGGACTCGGATAGCTCAGACTCTGACGCGTCAGATGACGAGGATGTCGAGCATGAGAAAGGCTACGGCCTCAACAAGTTTGGCATCGCTTTTCAAGAGGTAGTGGCAGAAACTAACACGCGGGTCCGAATCGACAGTTTTGAGCATTGCGTGGTAGAGGTGAAGAAGGAGGATCTTGGTGGGTTTCTCGAGAGCTTGAGCATGAAGGTTGTTGTTGGCTGAAGAGCAGAATAGCACGGCCTAATATTGGTGGTTGTTAAGGGCCTATCTAATGATTGTATACGTGGGAGTCGTCCTGGTAGATGATGCAAGCGGATGAGATGATTAAAGTGGTTTTTGAATTGGATATCTTCCAAACTGGCAGAGGGATAGGAGTCAGGCGGCATCATGATTTGGGACAGGAAGCATGCATGGGTGGAACTATGGTTACGATACCTCTAAGCAAGACTTCTCTTGGGTGTTAATTGAGCACTTATCTAGCACTTGAAATATGTTTTCACTCTATAATCGGATCTTGTGACAGGCATGAAATGATCCCATGATATTGGTTGATACGTGAGGCCTCTTGAGGCAAAACTTGCAGGAGCGTGTATGTCATCCTAAGCTTTTCTTTGGAAGCTAGCTACCTACCTTACTTTAGGCAAGCTAGGCAAGGTGAAGAAGGAGTGTTTATTTAGTCGAGGTGGGCGCAGCAAAAGCTTATTGACGATAGAGTGGTTTGGTGCCGACTTGGCGCAGATTCTTCCCCCTGTGAGTTGTGACACATGAGCGCTAATTGTGTATTAATTACCTACTTGGAATCACAACTGTTTGCTCATAATCAGTCCGTTTTGCATGTATGTAATCGGGGGATGCTTGGGTATCAATTAGTCCGTAGCTAAAGATAGACCATCTTTTTCAAGTGTCACGAGCGCTATCAGAACTCGGAGTATTCATACCTCTGGTCCAGGTGTTCTAGAACCAAGACGTCGAGACATGTTATTAGTCTCTGGGCCACTCGATCGGAGGCTTGTACAGTATCATCGGACTCGGTCGGGGTCAAAAATCGAACTCGATCACGGCAAAGGAATCTATGCGGATCAGAATGATAGGTACATAGGTACTGTATGATAGCACAGCCACAATCCTGTGCTGGGGTATTGGTTGCATGCGTGGATACCTGGTCGCCACGCTTCGAGAAATCGAAAAAGACACAGCCTCTTTGATATTTCTGGTAGGTCGTTGCTACAGGACTTAGTAGGCAGCTGGTCTTTTAGACGAGCCCAGGTCCCTTGAGGACCGGCATCAGCGTCAGTGTTGTGATACTGTGGTCGCTCAGTCTATTGCATGAGTATCTAAGGTACCTAGGTAGGCAAAGCAGAGTGTTCTGCAGATCTCGGATCCTTGTATTCACGGACTGTTTCGGATTCGTCATTAACTACCTACCTGAGAAGCGACAGAAAACCCAGATTTCCAATGGGTCGAGACTGCATTCAGAACGCGCTTTCGCTTACCAATTGGATGGATGGCATCACGGACCCGACCACTTGAAGTACAGCGGGGTTCTGGGCTGGGCTGCTATCCAGAAACCCCGCCCCCACTAACTCGTCCCCTAACTACGGAGGCACCAGTGCCCAATACTGCACTGAGACCCCTATGATGCCCTGAAGGGTGTGCTGGGCGGCGATTTTATTCCAGCGGAGTTGTTGCCATGTTGGATCGCCTTTAACCCCGTCGGACTGGACTGTCTGTCACCCGCCGCCTCACCCTCATCATATTCCTTCCTTCCTTCTTTGCCCTGCCTTGCCTGCTTGGCCTTACACCTTGCATCAGTATCTAGCGGCCTCCACTTCTTACCTACGACGCAGGTAGTTATTCCATCTCCATCTCCATCTCCATCTCCATCCCCATCTCTCTTCTCTTATTGCTCTGCTCGAACCGACTTTTACCTGAACCTCTACGTCTCTTGTGCCCCTTCACGACTGCGACTCGTCTCTCCTCGCCTATTACTGTCGCACGACCCTGAGAGCTTAATACCCTTCCCCTCACTAAGCGCCTCGCTTCTCTCCAGCCCCATCATAACCTACTCCCACCCGCAATCCTCCCGCTATCGACATCGACACTGATATCATCATCTACCACGTTTCTTACCGACAAACGACCCTCAGAAGTAACCGACTTTGTCCTCGTCCTCACTGCGGCGCCTTGGTCCGAGAGCTCCTCATTTCTTTCGAGTTAAAAGATAGCCCCAGACGTCCAAGTCTTTGATCAACCGTCGCGCAATTCGCGCTCTCTATACCCCCCACTGATAACATCGTAAAGTCCCAGGCGTCATGGGTAAATCGTAAGTTTATCTCCAACATATTCCTGCTGTCTTTGGCTGTCGCTTTACCGTATTATTCCTCCTGGTGCCTCAGTGTCTTTGGCGTCACTTGGCGCCAGGAATCACATATCGCGAGTCGCAAGCGCATTTGTCAACCTCGGACTCCCGCGGAAGCTAGGGACCGACGTCATTATACTTAAGGATCAACCACATCACAACGATACTAACCTCGCCGCGCCTATGCAGACAGTCAAAGCTTTCCCAAGATCAGCTCGTCGAGTTGCAGAAGTCGACTCATTTTGATAAGAAGGAACTTCAGCAATGGTACAAGGGTAAGTCTCTGATACTGAACGCGGACTCTCACTCGATCTATATCCGGAGTCCGTGCCGCTTCATGAGATCAGAATTGTGTCTAACATCAGAGCTAGGTTTCCTCAAAGACTGCCCCTCGGGTACACTCACCAAGGAAGAGTTTCAGAAAATCTACAGACAATTCTTCCCCTTCGGAGATCCGAGCTCGTTCGCCGATTATGTATTCAACGTCTTCGATAGCGACAAGTCCGGCACTATCGATTTTAAAGAATTCATCTGCGCGCTAAGTGTTACTAGCCGAGGCAAGATGGAGGACAAGCTGGATTGGGCCTTCCAGCTGTACGATATTGATGGCGATGGCAAGATCAGCTATGATGAGATGCTCAAGATTGTCGAAGCTATCTACAAGATGGTGAGTACCAACTTCGCGCCCAGCTTTGTAGCGTCATGTTTCCACAGGCCCCTGGGAATGCAAGTGGAAGGACGAACCCTTACTAAACATCAATAGGTTGGTTCCATGGTTAAATTACCCGAAGACGAAGATACCCCCGAAAAACGAGTGAGGAAGATCTTCCGCATGATGGACAAGGACGAGAATGGAAGTCTAGATATGGAGGAGTTCAAGGAGGGCAGCAAACGGGACGAGACTATCGTCTCAGCGCTATCTCTTTATGACGGTTTGGTGTAGGGGCAATGCGATGCCACCAACAACGACATGAACGGAATATGAGCCAGGAACAAAGGGAAGGAAACGAAATCAAAGAAAAACACCTACAAGTGAAAAGAAGGATCCATGGGCGCCATACTGGCCAGGAGTGTGAGGAGCTTTTACCTTTTTGCTTTCACTGTTTGTCACTGACCCAAGCGCACGGCCTCTTACTTTACAAGAACGCGACTTGAGGGATCTCTGACTACGAAATAAATCGCCTTGCTGTTTTTATACCAGGCGCTGTATTTTCATTGATTGTGAATGTTTTGTTTGCGTTCAACAGAGTGCTTTGAGACTTGACTGCTTAGATGCGATGGCGACCTCAAGCTCTTTCTTTCCGAGTTTCATACGGTCCTATGCTATGATTATGAGGCTGTTGGTTTATCACGTTTGGGCCCGGACGTTGTCTAGGATGTGTGAGGGCTCGATTCTGTTGTGAGCTTCCGGTGTATTGATGTATTTCGTCTTTGACGAATCGATGGCGGCTCAACATGTGCTAGTCATGGCTGTTTGTTTTTCCGGATAGCCTCATTGATTTATATCATGCCATGAGACTTGGGGATATGTCTTGGTGATTCCTTTTCAAGCTCCTGATCATGCTCCTGATATATGGTAGGTACTCGCCTACAATTTGATGTGAAGCGGGATCCACTTCTCCATGCTCGGCTACATCAAGCGCTTTCACACTAGTTATCTCGCTATCTCCATGTTAGACCATCGCTTTTTCAACGAAATGCTCTACTCAACATAACGCAAAATTATTATCACGCTTCATCATAACAGACAATACCTCACAATGGAATTTGTAGATAGTCTCTTGGCGAATCTTGAGCCAGAAGTCGAAGACGCAGAAGAAGGTCAGCTTACAAGAACCTTGCGCTCATGCAGGTCTCACTAAGAATACGTAGAAACTTTTATGCTGTACTCACAGCCTATCCCTTCCATGAATCTTGGCTTCGTCGACTCCCGTGCTACTTCCGTCGATGTTTCTGTTGCTGATCGGGACTACACCATTCATCAATCTCCTACTGTTCTGTCATCGTCACGCGCAGGTGGAACAACAGGAGCTGGTAGATTTTCCCCTCTCACACTCACTCCTCAAGAAGAAAGGCTGACTTGATATGCAGTATTATGGAAAATAGCTCCCAGCTTCGCCTCGTGGCTCTCTTCCCCGTCAAATCCTATTCTCGCCAAAACCATCCATTCAAACGCCTCCATACTTGAACTCGGTTGTGGCATTTCCCCCCTAAGTGCCCTAGCCCTTGGTCCACGCGTAGCACGCTACGTCCTCACCGACCAGTCCTACGTGCAGCGTCTCGTTCAGCGCAATCTTGATGAGAACTCATCTTCTACATTGAGCTCAGGGACCTCTACACCGACGAGTGGTCGAGGCAAGAAGAAACGAAGTGGTCATGGCCATTGTGCAGCACAACCGAACATTCGCTTCACGATACTTGATTGGGAGACGGACGAGGTAACTCCGTCTCTTACCGGCTCTGATGAAGCTCATAGCTTTGACGCCGTTGTCGCCTGTGACTGTGTTTATAACTATGCTTTGGTAGGCCCCTTCGTTCAGGCGTGTGCGGACGCATGCCGTCTAAGACTCTCTGACGAGGCCTTTGCCAATGATGAAGAAAAACGGCCGTGTGTCTGTGTCATTGGGCAACAACTTCGAAGTGACGAAGTATTCGAGTCTTGGTTAAAGGCGTTTTCAACATCATTCCATGTCTGGAGAGTTTCTAATAGTGTACTGCCCGCAGAACTGCAATCTTCGGCTGGTTTCGTGGTGCACGTCGGTGTCCTTCGCGATGAGATCAAAAAGGGGGGCTGATATTACTTTCTTGACCTCGTAGCACATTCTAGGTGCCTAATCAGATAGCACACAGGTTGTACCAAACCATCGTTTTTCGAAGGAACCAGTTTTACATCGTATAAAAGAGTTTTCGTTTCAATCCGTCGCTATTAATCATGATCGTTTTGATTCATAAATCTTCTCAGGAGTTACAACTTAGCATCTACTCCAAATTTTTCGGTGCTTCTGCATTAAGTGTGAGCAAAGCCAACAATCCTTTTTGTCCATCAACCCCAGCAAATACTTGAAACCACAAAAACCACATGCTAATCATCATATGCCAGTAAACCAGATCCCTTCGCCGTTAAATTATTTCTTTATTCCCTAATCCCTTGGTCCGAATCACCACTCGAGGGGCTCTTTCTTCTCCTCGCCCCGGTTTGTTTTGGGAACAGGCACAGCCTTAGCGGCCAGCTTACCACCCTGTCCGGGACGCTTTAGGTAACCTGTGCCGTCGAGCCATGGGGTGTTTTGTGTCATCCGTCGCTCGAACTCGGCAATCTTGTCCTCCTGCTGCATGGTCAGGCCAATGTCGTCGAGACCATTGACCAAGCAGTGCTTACGGAACTCCTCAACGTCGAACGAGCAGATGGTCTCTCCGTCAGCGTTTTTGATTAGCTGATTGGGCAGGTCGATCTCAATGTCGCGGTTGGCGCGAGCCTCGGCGGCGATGGCTTCGAGGTTGTCCTTGTCCTCGATCCTGATGGGGAGCATACCATTCTTGAAAGTGTTGTTGAAAAAGATATCAGCGAAGGAGGGAGCGATGATGCACTTGATACCAAAGTCCAGAAGGGCCCAAGGGGCGTGCTCTCGAGAACTGCCGCATCCGAAGTTGGGTCCAGTGACAACCAGAGTCTTGGTCTGTCGGAAAGGCTCTTGGTTCAAGATGAAGTCGGGATTCTCGGACCCATCCTCCTTGTATCGAAGCTCGTAAAACAGTGCGGTACCAAGACCGGTTCGCTTGATTGTCTTGAGGAACTGCTTGGGAATGATGGCGTCAGTGTCAACATTGGATCGGTCCAGAGGAGCCGCAGTGCCCTTCCAGATAGTAAACTTAGGCAGACCAGAAGCGGCACCTCCAGCGCTGGCCAGAGTGTTGGTGTGAGGCTGAGAGTCTTGAGGCTGATCTCCGATCATCTCTCGCTCCTCAGAGTCATCCCTGGTTCGCTCGTCCACATGCGGCTCCTCCGCAGGGAGCTCACGGGGCTTAAAGGCAGATTGATGGGTGTAGTGTGATAGCTTGCGAACATCGGCAAGCTTACCAACGATAGCGGCAGCAGCTGCCATGACAGGAGACATGAGGTGAGTTCGGCTAAGAGCACCCTGCCGGCCCTCAAAGTTTCGGTTGGATGTACTGGCACATCGTTCCTTGGGTGCTAGAATGTCAGGGTTCATGCCCAGGCACATGCTACATCCAGCTTCTCTCCACTCAAAACCAGCATCAACAAAGATCTGGTCAAGGCCCTCCTCCTCAGCCTGTGCCTTCACAAGACCGGAGCCAGGGACGACCATGGCGCGCTTGACGTTATCGGCAACCTTTCGCCCCTTTACAACGTTGGCAGCGGCTCTCAGATCCTCAATCCGAGCGTTGGTGCACGATCCAATAAACACCTTATCGACAGGGATATCCTCCATTGGTGTTCCAGCCGTCAAGCCCATATACTCAAGCATGCGGCGGCCAGCAGTCTTCTTGCTCTCACTGCTAAAGGTCTCAGGGTCAGGGACACACCCGGTGATGGGAACGACATCCTCCGGGCTAGTTCCCCAAGTAATGGTGGGAATGATGTCCTTGGCGTCAATAAAGACATCAATGTCGTATTTGGCGCCAGGATCAGACTGGAGAGACTTCCAGTAGGCAACAGCCTGGTTCCAAGTCTCGGAGCCATACTTGGGGGCCAGTGGCCGTCCCTTGAGATACTCAAAGGTGATCTCATCGGGGGCAACCATACCAGCGCGGGCACCGCCCTCGATGGACATGTTACAGATGGACATGCGAGCCTCCATGCTCAGGCTACGGATAACAGACCCGCAAAACTCAATAACGGCGCCAGTACCTCCGGCAGTTCCGATCCTGCCGATGGCGTGGAGAACGACGTCCTTAGAACTGACGCCAGGGGCCAGCTCACCATCAATCTGTATCCTCATGTTCTTGCTGCGCTTGGTAATGAGACACTGAGTAGCCAAGACATGCTCAACCTCGCTGGTACCGATACCAAAGGCAAGGGCACCGAAGGCGCCATGTGTTGAGGTATGGCTATCACCGCACACGACAGTGGTTCCGGGAAGAGTGAAGCCCTGCTCGGGGCCAATGATGTGGACAATACCTTGTCGTTTGTCGCCCAGGCCGAAATATGTGACACCAAACTTTTTGACATTCTCTTCTAGAGTGACACACTGTGTTCGCGAATCGTCCTCCTCGATGAATGAAGCAATGTCCTTCAGGGCTTTGCGGGATGTGGTGGGGACATTCTGCAGGGTCCAGGGTTAGTAAATGCTCTGTTGACCACCATTTACGGTAGCTTTCAGTTGATTGGCAATGCATACGTGATCAGTGGTTGCAAGAGTGCAATCAGGTCTCCGGACTTTGCGGCCTGCATTTTCGAGACCCTCAAAGGCTTGCTGTTGGTAATTGGTTAACGGATGTTCGGAACATGACGTCGACGTTTTGGAGAAGTTAAACTTACTGGTGATGTCACCTCGTGGACCAAGTGCCGGTCTTTTGGCCAACTTCGTCAGTTCCATGCCCATAAGCAAAATTGAACGCAAATAAACGTACCGATGTAGAGAAGAATTGTGCCATCGAGCTTTTCGTCGACGATATGTGCCGAGAACACCTTATCGTAGAGGGTCTGGGGCTTATCCACGGGAGCGGGCATTTTGATGTTTATAACCACCCTACAGTACTAAAGAGTGATCAATGACTCTCGTGAACAGGAGATATCACGAATGCGGGGTGAGAAGGTATGTAGTTGATTGTAGAAGAAGAAGGTAGAGTTGTGAAGGTGAAGAGAGGAAGCTATGACACCCCGCTTTGAAGAGGGTAACAGAGGAAATGATGCAGCTGAAAAAAGAAGAAATCAGGAATTGGACTGGAATTATCTAGAGAGAGAAAAAGGCGTCTCTTCCTGGGGTTTATCAACAAAATTTCACCTGAGCGCCCCCCTCCTGCCCAATTCCACGAGCTTCATAGAATTGGCACGAAGGCGCCGATGATCGGAGGGGTCCGTTTGCGGCTGTCAGCAATTGGAGCTCACCAAGAGGCCAGAAGCCCCAGGACGGGCGCCAGCGCGGGGTAGACCCACAGCTGCCTCCTGCACTGATTGCTAAATAATTGGCTACTATTGGTTGCTCGTTGATCGCTGCTTTATTCAACCTCCGATGTCAAAAGTCCAGGACCTCCGATTGCCATTCAGTTTTGATCCTTTTCTAACTCCACGGCTCTACCCTGGTCTAATTACGACATTAGTTGACTTGCCTCACTCAATGCCGAGTTTTAGACATTTGCAAATTAGCTAATAGCACCGGGTTTCGGTTGGTTGTTACACGGTGTTACCTGAACATGAACCTTATGAGTACGGAAAGCTAGCACAACTTGAGACATTGGAGAATAAATGCAAAGTAGACTGGGTCAGTTATTTTCACAATTAACTATGCGATAATCAAGGTACTAATCTATTCTGTATCGTAATGTCGTACTGTGTATCATCTATTTTTACCTCCCTCCGCATCCGCCATCGGCGTGCGGCTTGCCCCGGGCTATGTTGTCTCCGGCACCGGTCCTTTCCCGGGTATCCGCCCGGCCGTTGTGTACCTAGTCGTCCATGTAGACTCCGGTCAAGCTCCGCCGAAACATCGCCAATCCCTCGTCAACTAAGCAATCCCAGTCCTCTTCCCTGCACTTCATCGTGATTGCTGTTAACTCCATACCCCAAACCAATATCACCAACAGGCCGAATACAAGAGGTAATGCGAGACAAGTGCTGGCCAAATCTGTCCAGCCATCACTTTCTCGATCGGTAGCTCTCCAGTACGGAGAACTGTAATCAAATACAGGCTTCACCGCCTTCCAGTACAATCTCAAAAGCTGTATGTTGTACCCCTTGATCACAAACAGAAACTCCTTAATAGCATCCCACAATCCTCCCGTCATACCCTGCTGAGATCTATTACTGGAAAGATCTGCGATGCCGTCTTCGGCGTTGCACTGTCTTGGAAGATTGCCTGGCACGTGCATCCCCGGATCCGCTGCTTGATTGCTGACTCCTGGCATATATATTTGAGAGAGAAGATCCAGATTGCTCAATTGAGTGCTGGCTTTCTGACGAATGCTTTCCGTGTTCTCCCCCTTGTCGATGTTTTTGACGTCCATTGTGCAAGTGGATGTTGACGAACTGCTGCATCGTTCCTGCATTGCTGGTACCTCTAGTGGTTCCTCCATGATGTCGCACCCTTGTGCCTGTGGTCGATTTCTCGACTCCTCGAGAAGACTCTCCGATGTAGTATCGATCACTTGAATTTCTTCCATCGACGCCGATTTCAGCAATGAACTCAGTCCACGATTCTTTGGGGAAGCTTCCAAGCTGTTCGGCGTTGTGCCAAATCTCTTCAGGTTGTGGATTACCTGACTTAGGCTGCGTTTGCGCTGTAGGCCCTCCCCGGCCTCTTGACCTCTCTTCGGGCGGTATTTCGATATTATCTGGTCGCACCCAGTAATGATGGTGATGTTTGTGGATGCAGACGCCCCCTTGACTTCGTACCTATTCGTGATGTCGCGATTCGCGCTCTGCGCCCAAACCCGCTCCGTTATTTGATCTTCGGTCACGGGTTTCGTGTAGGCTTGGTTTAAGGATTGGGGAAGAGTTCCTCTGATTATCTGGTGTTTTGTTTGTGTTGTTTCCCCGGTTGTTTTGGGTGGCTTTTGCAGCCTCTCTTTGACTGTAGGTTCCTTCGAGGGAAATGGAGGAGCGGTGAGGGGATCTAGAGTTGCTGACCGCTTTGCCTCGTTCTGGGGCAGTGGGCCGCTTGTATTCCCAGCTTTCGTTGTTCGTCTCCGGAGCAGCAGGACTGTTGGAGACGGTGTTGAGTTGTTCAGTGCCTCTTGCTCCCAACTGGACCGTATCTTTGGGCTTCCTGTCAGGTGCGGGTTCTATACACGGCCTGTGAGGACTTGCTGGTGGTGTATCGAGACTCGAGTGTGTTGGTACTGGCTTTCTAGGGAACTTGACGCGGTCTGTTCCAATGTTGTCGGGCGGGTAATGGATTTCTCGTGGGTGGTCGTCAAATCTTGCACGTAGCTTTTTGGAATGCTGTTCTCGTGTTGGCTTTGTATCTCGATCTTGCCCTTCACCAGTAAGTGGTTGGTGCTGGATGCCGCGAGGTTTAGTTTCATCGACAGATCTGATGAAGAGTCCTTGCTGGTTGGCACTCGAGGTATCTGGGTTCCTCCCGGTTCTATTGCCCCTTCTAGGCCCTTCTCTAAAAAAGGATTGGAGTGCTGGTTTTGGTCGCTGTAGTGCGCCAGTGATCCGCCCGTCTCGTGGAATTTCTCGTTCCCTTGCAGATGTTGTGTCTCGTTGGCAGGTGTTTGTATCTGTGTATCATCGTGCGCGGATACAAGGAAAAACTCTGGGATCTGATCTCTGTCTAGCCTAGGCCCGCTTGGGTTATGGAATTTTATGTCATTCTCGAAAAGCTCCAAGGCTGAAGGAGATGGGTTTGCCAGGCTGCGTCTATGAGGGGTCTTGATCACTGTGTCGGATGAGTTGGAAGTTTCCTTGGGTTGTACAGCAGGCGGGACTTCTTCATCGGACGACTCTTTTGAGTTATAGTCGATCAGCCCTTCCTTCTTTGCCATTTTCAAGTCTCGGCGTGACGGGCGCCCTATATCGAAAGACGGATTTAGTTGGATGTGAAGGCGAAGGTGGCATAGGTTGGTAGATTAGGATACTGACTTGAGAATACTGAAGTACTTCTGTGTGATTGGGCAATCGGGCTCAAATCAGGCTCCTGAACCGACGACCACTGGTGTGTCCCCCTTCGCCATTTTGCAGTGGCAGAAGCTGCCAGTTGTTTCTCTGCTTTCTCTTGTCGTCGTGCCTTGGCGACTTCGTGGTCAAGATGTACCTTGACGATTTCAATCTCAGCCTCCTTTCTTTCGGTAGCCGATAAAGCGTTCTTGGACTGTGCCTCCAGGCTCAGCAGCCTTTGTTCCGTTTTCGAGCTCAGCGTACTCTCTCCACTGTCCGATGTAAGATCAAGAATACCCGTTTGCGGGTTGATACCTTGAACACCCAGGTAATCTCCGCTTTCTCTCAAACTTTCCCGGTCCTCCCGTGCTTTTCTCCTTGCATTTCGATTGGCTTCTAGAACTTCCAATATGCTAGGCGTTCCTTGGATGGCTGCCGCAAAGGACTGAGCTCTGGAAGAGCGACTCATAGGTTGATGTTCTTTGCCCTTCTCGGCTTCTATGCTGCCACTCCGTTTCTTCTGACCGCGCTTCTTGCCTAGTCTCAGGGAACCGAATTCTTTCCATCTACGATAAGTCGGCAGTGAAGGCTCATTCCCTCTGTCTTTAGATGCGGGTGTCGGTTCAGGCACTGCTTCACTTAGGTTTTTTGGCATGTTCCAATCTACAAGGCGATCTGAACCCCCGGTTCTGCTGCGTTGACCCGCTCGGCGATTTGAGGCAGAGTGATATTGTGCTGATGCTCGATTGTTGACTTTGTGTTGAAGTTGAGATGAGGAATTGCCAGCAGCCGCTCCAATGTCCTGATCTTCGTTGTTTCTCAATGTTCCCCCTCTCTCTGCACGATGACTTGGAAGTTTGTTCCTGAACCAATCTCCCACATCCCCCAATGTGGCACTCCGAGTAGGTTCCCGTGTCTCCTTAGCTGGTTTACCCAGATCTCCAAATGTTGGTCTTCTCTCGGAATCACCCATGTGATGAGGAAGATTCTGAGGACGTGAAGGCAGGAAAGGATGGTCAGATAATGCTGCCCTGCGGCGTAATGATGACCAATGTGGTTTCTTAGACATATCTTGGTGCAAGCAATCGCGCCGTTGATTAACGATAATATGGTAGAGGGGGTGATTAATGATTGTAATGTTTTCTAACCTGTGAGATGAGAGGCACTAGGTATAGATAGCAGTTATGAGGATCAGGAGTGATTGTCGAAGAAAAGATCCGTCACATCAAGTGAACCACGGGCATGGATTCCAAGAACCCATCAACTTCGCCTTCCTCGTCTATGCCACAACGATATTTCAAGGGAAACCACAGCGAAGGCGTGAAATTCTCCCACCTGCCATCGTTTCCGGCAGCCCTTGATGATTGACACATAACAACGAATTAACAGTATCAGAGCAGGCGTATATCATCAAATACAAGCTGACGATAGAAATAGGTCAAGGGGATTCAGGGTATTTATTCAGAAGCCAGACCTTAACGCCAATCTTTGCTATCTGGGGCTACACTCGGTTTCGATGCAGTTAAATGTATTAATAAACAAGACAATAATTGAAAAGCTACCACCGCGGATGACGATTGTCCGAGGGTGCTTGTTGCCGACCCAAACCAGCAAAGGGGTTACCGCCTCCATTAGGTCTTGAGCCTATTAGGCGACGACTCTCAAGCTTTTTCGATGGCGTTGTTGCTCCCCAGTTTCGTTGCTCGTAGGCTGCCATTTCTCGAGAATTCCGCGGAGATGCTGCTTCCTGGGGATTGAGTTCATTAAGACTGGTGGCCTTCTTGAGGGGTGACTTGTTATGGGTATGGATGCCCATGTTTCCACCAAAGTTCATTCCCTGAATCCCCGAAGATGTCCCAGTTGATGTATAGCCTGCAGGCAAACTATGGCGTGGGACGGTGCCTTTCTGGCTGGTAGCGGGTCTAAAGGCTTCCGAGCGTCGAGTTGCTGTGGGAGGCGTGAACATGTGAGGCTTCATTACGTTGTTGGAGGTGGGGGTGAGGGATCGTTCCTCGGGGGTATGATCCGTTCCGGTATATGGGTTAGAATGGACTTGGAAACCATGACGGATCTGAACTGTAGGGGTCCCAGTCTGCACAAATTCTTGATAGTCGTCGGGCTGGTCTGTCGAGAACTGTGTGCCAATGTCGCGCACCGTAGGGTGAAGCCGGGGGTGGACAAACTTGGTATCGTACTCTTTCATCACTTGTTCCTGAATCACGGCCTTATCCTTTGCTTGTTGCGCAAATCGAGAACAGAAGAAGAGAAGCTGAGCAGAAATAAGGGCCTGCAGAATGAGTGTATTCAGAACCGTCACACTCGGTCGGGGATCGAGAGGAGCTAGAGGAAGGAAGATCATGTACACCAAAACATGCCCAGGGCCAAAGAGACAAGACAGGCGTAAGGACACTGGCAGAGGATCCCAGACTGACAACTCCCAAACATCTGATGTCTTATCTGGGTGGGCTCGCGCCTCGGCAGATTCTGGTGTTATCAGATTCGCGAGATAGCTCAGGGGCGTCGAAGGCGATGCGCTCGATTGGTTCACTTTCACACGTCGCGCAGAAGGCGTCGAAAGCGGCCTGTCGACCTTGGCCAGAAAGAGTCGGTACTTGCGCGTTCGCGTGATCATGTAGAAAGCATTGGTGCAAGAGAAAGCTATGAGGGCCCATACCAGTGGATAGATCTTTACAATATATATGGTTAGCCTCAACATGATATACAGCAGTCCGAGAAGACGAGAACTTACCAAGAATGATAGCCACCCTGAACTGGTTTCATCACTGAAAATATCGTCACTTGGGGTAGATGATCCTGAGTTCGCGCGCGCAAGTAAGAAGATGAAGTTCATGACAAGGCCCATTTGTGTCCCAACCGAAGCTGAATCCCAATCTCTTGTTTCCAGTTCTTCGGATAGCCAGAGCAAAAAGTCCATGGGGTTGATTGCAGCCATGATACGCTCCCTGAGCGGCTGCCGGCGAACTAGGCGTGGCATGTTGAGCACACTGCAGGGTATTGACTCCTTGTAAATTGTGTATTCGGGATCGCAATGCCAGGGAGGAGAGTCGTGAGTCGGCACTAAAGTAATAAAGAAAGAAAGCCGGCTACTTTGCCGGACGTTGTTTACTTTAAGCTCACTGTTGCTAAGGACCAGCAATTCTTTGTTCACTATGGAGTACGGATAGTACCTGCCTGAAGCTGACCAGTAAAAGTCCAGTGGAGGCTGCAGCATCCACCTGACGTGGGGATCAAGCAGTAAGGTACCTTAGCCCCTGGGGGCAAGAAAATATCAGACCTTGATATCGGGTGTCAAAATAAACTAAGTAAATGTCATCCTAAGATTAGACTAAAGTTACCTAAATATTTTTGTCATTGAAGACTGAGGTACTGAGTTTTCTTTCCTCCCCTAGCTTAGGTACCTAGGTGCCTTACTCGCAATGGTCAGAGCTTCCAGGTTCCCAGACGGAGCGGAACTTCAGGCGCCGACCTCCTCGTAGGTAGTTGTGACTCTAATCATCAACTCAGCGCCATCAACACACCCAAGAGGGAAGTGTAAACACAAGCCTGCATTCATCAAGATGGCCTCGCAAGCAGATTACAAGGATCGTCAGTTCCTCGCGGTCATCGGCGACGAAGTATGAGCTGCAATGATAGGCTATTTGCTCGAAAGCTTGCGCTGACGTAGCTCTCATTTAGGACTCCGTAACAGGCCTGCTTCTCGCGGGTATTGGCGTAAGTCTCAATCACTGCTCAGTCCCTTTACGCAGGCTAACTCTATTCAACAGCATGTAACTACAGGCGCCGACGCTCAGAAGAACTTCCTCGTTGTTGATGGCAAGACCGATACAGCTGCTATTGAGTCCGCGTTTGATCGATTCACCGAGGATCGCAAAGATATTGGCATCGTACTCATCAATCAACATGTCAGATAACGGTCCGATTTATTTTGTCGCTGAACTAACTCTCCTGAAGATCGCCGACCGAATTCGACATCGTATTGACACCTATACCGCAGCTTTCCCTGCTGTGTTGGAAATCCCAAGCAAAGATCACCCCTACGACCCTGAGAAGGATAGTGTATTGAGACGAGTGCGACGTCTTTTTGGAGAGTAGGGGACATTGTGTCACTAGGCGCAAGGGTTTGTTTCGGGATAATGGAGCGAGCACGGTATAGAGGCAGCAGCGAGCATGGCCGTACATGATTTTGAGTTGGGCACTGCGGTTTTCTTCTTCTTCAACTTCATGTTATGCAGGGCAGTTCCTCTTACAGAGATGCAGAGCAGAGCACGATGCAATGGACTCATTATCAGATATGCTAAATAGATCTAAATCCGCTGCAGGGTGCCCGGGAAGAGCTAAAAGATTCGCCAAACCCAAACATTGACCCAGAATCCGACGAGAACGTGCCCAACGACAAGTCATGCCGTCATGTGTATATTATGAATGCGCCATAATCCCAATTACAGATCGCTGCCGAAAAAGCCCTTGCTGCTACGAGAGAAAGTGACAGTTGCTGTGAGGCAGGTAATTTGGACATCATCGGCGGTGAAGACGTCGGCCAGAACAGTATATTTACCCTGGTAGGAATTAGGAGCAGGCATGGGAGAAGTAAGGAGTAGTGACATACCGGAGGGATCTCGGCAGGAAGGTCTACAGTCTTGGTGATCTCAACCTCACCAGCCTCGACGGGACACTTCAGGTCGACATTGCCAATCTGCTCGCAAAGATCGGCCTTGGTGCTGATAAGGCGAATAAGTCCATACTTGACAGTTAGAAGAACATAAGCATCCTGCTCAATCTTCTGCTTGACTATTCCCTTAGCCTTGATCAAGAGTTCCTGGCCGCTATCAAGTTGTCAGTCTCTCAGGGTTGTGCAAGTATAAGTAGGTGAGTCGTACGCTTTGGGAGGGTTAGGAGCAAGGTCGACCTTGTCAATCCTGATCAGGTCGGCAGTATGGTCTCCAGGGCACAGTTCAAGAGGAGAGTCGCCGGGAATCTTGAGGTCGTCGCTGATAGTAACATCGGGAGCCTTGCCATTGAGAACGCTCAAAGCAGCCGCTGGAGCCAGGCATGCCGTCAGACATGCGGTAACGGTAGAGAATCTCATCGCGCGGGGTTATCTCGCGAGGTTTGATGGGCTGTGAGATATAGCGATGTTTGCGAAAACAATACGAAGCAGTAATTAGATGATGGAAGTCGTGTGAAGATGATGAGAGGGTCGTTATCAGGGCAGAATGGTGGATGGCGAGTGGCTCAGTATTGAGTGCGTCATGGGACTTGTCCTCCACTTTTTGGTCCAACTACTGGCCGAGAGCGGCTGGGAATTGATGCCTTACCGCCTTGCAGATGACCGCGGGCCGCATCCGAGTGCACTAAGAAGCTACGTACCTTACCTTATCATGGAGGCAAAAGTCTAGAACTAAATGGTTGAATCAAGTCTAGAGCATGAAAGCCATCATAATAAGCGAGGAATGAGTTTGTATGGCAGCCAAACAAAGCGTATACTGTTGGCTTTGAGTGAATGATCATTTTGCAATATCATCAGAGCCAAAAGCTTACTACCTGCTTCCTGCTCTTCTCATGCAGGTTCCTGTCTCAAAGTTTGCGGAGGTGGAACACTCAATGTCGAGTTGCAAGCCCAGCCTCCTCACTTTCCAATCATGTGGAGCTATTCGAGCTTAGGTACCTTAGTGTTACTGTCCGACATGCGACCTGAGGCACAAAAGTTGAAGCCTCGTGCACGGGCCATGCTAGGACATCAGTATATATTCGCGCTTTTCTTCCAAACCTTTTTGAACTCTTCATACTTACCTTGCCTCAGGAAAGCCAGCTCAAGAATTGGCCTTTCTAGTGTAGAGGGCCTGCATTGCACACTCGCGGAGTCACTCTACTCTCTATTGTCCTTCGGGACCATAGGGGGCGGAATTTTTGATTTATCACCGTCTTTCATTGTGATCTGCTGCTTGCGGCGGGCATGAAGAAGGAACATCTGAAATCTGCTACAGAAACCTGCACGCGATTGCTGTCCCATCTGACATTTTATCGCGCTTGCTCGAATTCCTGTCAAGGAGGAAGGGTCTCAGTCATTGTGGCATGTTGCTGTTTATGGTATGTCACAGCGAACATACTGCAAGAACGACCTCCTCAGTGGGCAGGTGGGCCACGGTGAGACGCGTCGGCTTTGACCTAGCTGCCTAAGGTAGTGTTGCTATTGGCTTAGGGCGTAAGACGTATTGCTCGGCAGGAGGCCAGGAGCTTAGAAAATCGACTCTATATCGCACTGTCTGTACCATGCCGAGGGAACACAAGAAAACTCGGGACGTATACCGTATGTAACAACAGAATTGGCCCAATTTAACAAAAATGCAACGAGTCTTTGGATTGGTGAATTGGCATCACAGGCCAAGGCTTGAAGTTTTCTTGCTTCCTGATGCTGTGTTACCTCTGGCGCAACTTTCCCCACTTCTGTAAGTGTGAGTATTTGAGCCTAAGGTTTCGTCACGACGGGGGCTAGGGGGGGTAGGGGGTTTACCAGTTCAGAGGAATAAAGCCACCTTTGGCTGTTGGCGCTGCTTCGCGTTGACTATTGCCTCGTACCAGGCTCAAGCTGTCAAGTTCGAAGAATAGAAGCCGCCACAGAAAGATGCAAGATACCTTCCTGGGCGGCACTCTGTAAAACAGATATTTTATTTGCAGCAGTTCCGCGTTGCACTCGGATCCTATACAGGCCATTACCATGCCCTGGTCATCCAAGCATGGGTGCGAATACGGGCAACATCGCGAGACAGACACGAACCGATAGTGATGGAAACTTGTTGCACATATCCCTCCGGAGTAGATATCTTGAACAGACCGTGGGACGAGCACATCGGTGTCTCTAGGAAAGCGATTGTTTAAATGCTGCGTTTTCGGTTTCTATCGAGGTGCTCTAGAGGATTGCAAGAAGGTATCAACCTCATGGGTTCTCGATAGGTGTATTCGGACAAGAGAGAGTGTGGTATAAACAAATACTTCCTCGTTCGCGCCCTTCATTCATCATAAGGAGTACTTTTTGCATCTCGGGCTTCCAGTTCAAATGTTACCTTTTACAAAATGCAACGCAACAGTCGCTCCTTTGGCACCAAGCAATTTGCGCGACGGCGATGACGCGACGAGTATCATCATTATCACGCTGTCAGCTTGCACCACACTTCCGTTTCTCATGGCATCTTTCACAGGCTCCTAACATAGATTCGTATGCACAATGTAGTAATGAACTTGGAACAGCCCGCACTGATTGGGTTGGAGGTAGGAAGCCTGACTGGCACCAAGCCTGCTCCCTGCAAAACAAGCCAGTCAAAGCAACAAGGATATGCCGTCCTTGTCAAGCACTACCTACCTACCTTATTCTCGCATACAGTACGAACAAGAAGTCTGACATACTACAATGTGCTAGTAAGCTATCTCTACGGAGTAAGCTCTTACATACCATTTGATGAATTACAGTAGTCTGGTCCGGATCTCGATATTAGGTACCTTACCTATTCATGAAGTTTTGCAAGTGAATGTCGTAGCTAAGATGATGATGCCCTACATTCGCACCTAGTGGCCAAGCTTCTTTTGCGGTACTATCTCATTCTTCTCTTTCGCGCAAGTCTCTGCTTCGTACGCGGCGAACAACGCCTAGGTACCCTGAGTAAAAATACTATGTACTAACTCAGGCACACAGTAAGGTATTGCTCCCCTTACTGCGTATGTAAGTTCCTGGGACTTACCTCGGCGGCCTCGGGTTAGCTTCGCACTAACTTAGAATGAATGGTTTCTCGTTTCACCAAGCGTACATAGAGATTTGTGGCGGGTGCCAAATTTCAGACACTCCACTCATCTCCACTGCAAGCCCACCAACCACAGTCATTTCTTGGGGCTAGCAAACCCAGCTCCAGCTGTCATCTGCTGTTTATTGCCTTCGACTGGCTCTGAGACATGCTCAGGTTACGTGCCTGATTCTCTGAAAGT